GTAAAGGTATGTTACATTTGTTTATGCTGCATTTGTTTAATTATGAAAAGATATGTTGCTGTTTCACCTTGCCTGCCTAAGGTATCTGATTAGTCTAATAAAAAGCTGAATGGCCAATAGTTAGGCAGAAAAATGATAGGCAGGGTTGGCTGGCAGAGAGAATAAGTAGGGGAAGAAAGGAGAAAGAGGAAGAAGAGAGGAGAGACTGAGGGAGACACCTGAGGCCAGAAGCCAGGCAGCCAGACATAGAGAGAGCAGGAGAGTAAGATATACAGCAAGAAAAGACCAGAAGCTCCGAGGAAAAACATAGATAAAGAGAAACAGGTTAAGTTAAAAGAGCTTGTTAGAAATGAGCCTAAGTTAGGCCAAGCATTCATAAATAATAGTAAGTCTCTGAGCCATGATTTGGAAGCTGGTTGGTGATCCAAAGAAAAGGTCTGGTATATTTCCTTTTCCTGGTGGTTATTCATTATGATGGAATGAAAGAATCTTATAGCACAAATTTGTTTTATATAACAGTATCAAAACTGGGGCAGTACAAGAAATATTTGTCAGCAAACTGACAACCTGTGATAAGGCTCACATGGTAGAAGGGGGGTACTGACCTCACAAGTTGTTTTCTAACCTCCACACCCATACTGAAGAACACGGACCACCTATATGTCCCCAAAATACACACACACACACACACACACTAAACACCCAGCATCCTGAAATTAGAGAGAATAAAGAGAGTGCATTTTTGTACCATTTCCTCTCTTACTTCTTTCAGTTCTTCCGGCCATAGTCCCAGCTGTCACCACAGCAGCAGACACTGCTGGGTCCATATGGCCAGGCATTCATCCCCACACTAGACCAGGAAACTCACTAAGCTCACACAGCTGAAGTATAAACAGCTGGATTCCAAGTCCGGGGATGATGGACCCAAGGTTTATTCTTCAGATTTTTATCCAGGAACCAGGAAGAGGGAGATGATTCCTCTTTCTAGGTATGCATTCTCAGGGCAATAGTTCCTTTCATTTGGCAAGTGAAGCTTAACTCACTGTCTGCACATAAAATACCAGCTATGTATCAGTTCAGTCCAATAAAACCTGGCTGTCAGCACAATGCACACCTCCCCGATTCAGCTGAAGTTCATTTCCCCATAAATTTCAATGTGGATACAGGAAATTGTACAGACTCACCCCCACAACTTTGCTCCTCCTGCAGACCTGTTCTTTTCTCTTGTTGTTTTCACTTTTGGCACTGTTTATACTGAAACCCGGGACCTGCATATACACGCTGAGCAAGTTCTCAATCACTCAGCTGCCCTGCCAATCCCTTTCTAGTTTTCTATGAAACTATTGAAAAATATTTCAATCTTACTAATTTGGGGAAATGATAAAAGCTAAACTTATTAGACACATAGAATTTCAAATTACATACATATATACTATATATTTAAATTCACACAATAGTAAGTTACTATCATTTTTACTTTGGAAAAGAATCTAGAACTGCTCTGTGGTGGTTTAAAAGAGAGTTATTCAATAACATTTCTGAAAATCCATCAGATGCTGGGTATTATATAATTTAAGGACCTTGCAACAGAGGTACACACTATGGTCTGAACGTATCCCCAAGCCTGTCTGCTGAAACTTAATTACTAGGTGACACTGTGAGCTGAGGGCTTTCTGGAGAGATCTCTGGAGGCAGAGCTCTTGGGATTCGTGCAGTTGAAAAACAGGCAGAAGGAAACTGCTTTGACAAGTAAAGACCTAGTAAGAGACAGGAAGTAGGCCCTTACCAGACGCCAAGTTTGCTGGCCATCCATCAGGATTTGAAGAAATAAATCTCTGTAGTTATAAGCCGCCAAGTCTACAGTATTCATTTTACTAGCAGTCCCAAAGGAACACAATTCCTCATCAGATTAAACCTTTTCGGTGTACACTGATAACTTCAAAAGTGCTTAGTATCATCTTAGCAAATAAATACTTATTAGCCTCCTCAGTCTTGCACATACCATTAACTTAGTAAGTAAATTTTCATTTGATTCACCCTGCTCTAAACAAAGCAACCAGACAAACAAACAAAAACTTGAAACTATCAGAAAACTGAGCTAATCAGGTTCTCATCTCTCTGGAGACTCTCTGCAGTGCTGTCTCCTATGGTCAACTTTTTGTTGTTTGTCTTTTTTTTTTTTTTTTTTTTTTTTACAGGAGGAGGAGGGTTCTGATTCCCAAATCCTTTACTACATTAAATGATTTCCTCTGGAACCTACTCCATTTCCTTTCTGCTCCTTTAAACTGGTAATAAAGGCCCCATCAGAGTTGCAGCAGTAACAGCACTTGTAACTGCAATGAATGCCATGCACACCGTCCAGTTTGTGGATCGTTGTTAGCTCCCACCTACCACAAGAAGCAGCTTCTCTGGAGCACATGCTTTCAATGGCTGAGCATCCCAACAGCATTGTGTAAGCTGTGGTGAGGGCCTATATAAATGGTGACATCACTGGGGCAGTTTCTAAGAGAGGGGAGAGGCATCATGGGAAGCCACGAAGGCAGAGAGTGATTCCGGGATTAGGCTTATTTGTTTTCTGTTTAATCTCCTTGTGATGCTGAGGATGGAACTGAGAGCCTCATGAATGGTAGGTAGGTAAGCACTCTACTACAACTCCATCCCAAGTGCATTTTTTTTCCTTTTAGTTCTTAAATTGTATTGAAACTATGTGTGTGTACACACAAATCCAGATGCCCAAAGAGACCAACCAGAGGCATTCAATCTCCCTGGTGCTACTATCACAGTTGGTAGTGAATGATCAGATACGGGTACTGGGAACCAAATTCAGGTCATCTGGAAGAGAAACACCCTCTGAACCATCTCTCTAGCACTAAAGCTTATATCTTTATAAGAACACAGTTTCAAGAAAACTAACTCCAAATCCATAGAAGTGCCTTAATCTTCTCAGGGAAGTACCCAGTGATTGACTGACTTTTTTGAACCCCTCTTTCAAAGGACAAAATGGGAAACCTTACAACATATGAACCCTGTGTGACACACGAATGTGTGTCAAAACCCCAGCAGGTCCACATCTGTTTAATCCACACACAGCCTTTGCTGAACCTGTGACTTGTGCAGACTTCTTTCAGTGGACATCCTGGTCTTTTTTAATTAATTAATTAAAAATTTCCACCTCCCCATTTCCCTTTCCCCTCCGCCTTCCCATCTCCCCCTCCCTCTCTAGTCCTAAGAGCAGTCAAGGTTCCCTGCTCCCAGGGAAGTCCAAGGTCCTCCCTCCTCCATCCAGGTATATAAAGGTGAGCATCCAAACAAACAAGGCTCCCCACTGACTGACCTTGCTTCAAATCTGCTCAGGTTACCAAAGCAAACTCTTGAAACACTTGACAACTGGAAGAGCAAGGAGGATGCTATTGAGGACCCCTCAGCAGGGGGCTTAATATACAGAGACACACAAGAAGACCTCCCCCTTGGGAAGTCAGAACCAAAAACTAGACAGGAAGAAAGAGCTATTAGGTAGGAGAAGAGTATGCAGCTGGAGGGCAGCATCAGGAGAAAGCACAAGGAAGGGTGAAAGGTGGTGGGAAGGGTATTCAGCTGTACCAGTGCCCAACCTGGGAACAAAACTACCCTCGAATGTCAGTGTTCCCAGTAGTGGAGAGATCTCACTGATGGTAATTAGCAACAAAGGGAAAAATAACAGCCATTTTCATCTTGAAAAGGCAGTGAACATTCTTTCAGCCCTTAAGTTTCTCATTGCGCTAACTGTTTTATTTGTTGTGCAGCACTGGAGATGGCCTTGAGTATTCTAGGCAAATGCTCTACAACCATTGAGACGCATCCCCAGCCCATATTGATTACTTTCTAAATTTTTGGCTCATTTATTTTATTTAATGTGCACAACTGTTCTGTTTGCATATTATATGTACCATGTTCACACCTGGTACCCAAGGAAGTCAGGAAGAAGGAATTGGGTCTCCTGGAACTGGAGCTACAGGTGGTTGTAAACTACCATATGGATGCTGGGGACTGAACCTGTGTCCACAGCAAGAGCAGCCAATGCTCTTATCTACTGAGACATCTCTCCGGCATGTCATTTTAAAATTTTGAAACAATGATGGAGGTAGATGTTTTATGGAGTTCATATGAAAAATGGTAACGGAAGCATAAATGAAAGACACCCAGAAATACTTAACAAGCATGGCTACTTACACCACCTACAAATTATTTAATTTTAACTGACATTTCAGTTAAATAACAGAGACTTAAACAAGCCCATCTCTTATGGGTATAGAAAACTGGCTGCAAGATGTACAGACTCCCAACTCTTCCTGACGAGCACTGTCGGAGCTGACTGGTGAGGTGGCTGCGTCTGGAACCCCAAACACTGCAGGGATGGCTTTCCTGAGCTACATTTCTCACTAGCACTTTTTTTTTCTAAATGAGAATGTAGCAAGCTGACCTCCAGCTTTCTATGACCTTGAACTTCTGACCCCGCCCCCAACCTCTGCCAATTGCTGGAATTATAGGCATATACTACTGTATCTGGTACTGAGGATGAAGCCAAGACCTAGCATATATGAGCAAGTGCTCTAATACCTAATACACCCACAACCCTCATCAGCACTCCTAAAAGACGCCCCTACACTTTTCTATGTTCTCTAACTGTTGGATCTTTCAGAAAGACAATAATAACTAGTGAATGAAAAGCCATGGTGAAAACAGTGGAAGGGCCCCATTGCATCTCTATAGAAAGATAACATGTAGCATATAGACACTTTTACAGGAGCTGAGATTTAAACAACGGTAAACTCAACTACCAATTCCATGTTGCAAAACATGGAAAACCAAGAAGAATCTTAGCGTTCAAACACTCCACAGTTTCTTAAAGTGACAGAAAAGTAAAGTGTAGAATACAGTGACTTTGTTAGACAAAACAAAAATAAAAGTCTTTAGCCAAAAATGGTCTCTGCAGAAGAGACTGTATATTTAGGAAAACTTACCTAATAAAAACCAGTTTGACCCTGGTTGGGGCAGTTTTAATAATGGCAGATGCATTTTGATGACTTCTTCCATACAGGATCTGATTGTTTATCTGTTTGGGAAAAAATATACTTGTAAAAATACAACCCATATATTTACACAATGAATAAATTATACATTATTATATATAATATATATTATAAAGTATATGCTTGGGATTAAACAAGAAAGTCTTTACTTTTAATCATGTGTATAGGATTCATTAATGGTAAAAATCTGACTGTTCTCCATAGCACATATTCCCAAGGTTATTCTAAGCAACTGTGAAAAGTCTCCTAAACTCCACTGTGGCTACAGGGAATAAAGGACTCAACTCCTTGACCCTCTGGCTAAACTTTATGAGAAAGGTAGTTGAGCTCATTGCAAAGTTTTATGGCACATATTTCATATTCTATGACTTTTCCAGATTCCTAAAGAATGTAGGAAACAGACCAAACTATAGTATATACAGAGCTCTGGAGGGCCCATTTAACACTACGCTGCAAGTGTATCATGGTTATTACACAGAATAAATCATTACCACAGGAGATATATATTATGTGCCTGTTTTAAGTTGAATTTTAGGTCAACATTACAAAGTACATCTTACTGATAACCAATAAGTCATCTGTTCCTGTCTAAGGTGTACTGGAATTATAATTTGACTGAAGTCACCTAAATATAATAGAATAGTAGATCTAAACTGTTTTTATTTCAGATCCTCCCACTGATATGTTATATAATAACTACAATTATTCTCTCTACCATCTAACTCTCCTCTCCCATTTGTTTGATAAGGAACTAGTGACCTGTACTGTTATGTTATCCCTATGTAGCTGTGGCCTTGATAACTTCTACAGTCTTAGGGATGGTCCAGTACACTTAATTATATTCAAGGGGACTGGAGTCTTTCCAAATTGGTGCTTAATCCATCTGCCCTTGTTGTCTCTGTAATGCTGAATCTGAAGACACAATTGACATCTCTTTGAAAACATTGTTTCATCAGAGCAGTTACACCCAGAAAGCAAAGGGAAACAAACACTTCAAATAGTCATGGAAGCAGAATACCCTTAACTGTGTTAAAGGAAGCCCATCCATCCCCATGCCTAGGGAGGTACAGCCGTGACTATCAGGCAACTTCTTCACTCTGCCTTTTATTCTGTCAGGCTTTATTCTTGGCTGAGATCATTAGTCTCAGAGAAGTGCACTGACTCCCACACTCCCCGTTATCTGTGACTCGCTTTCCTATGCTCTAAAGGAATTCAAGCAGCTGCTCCAAAGTGGCCCTGAGAACTGTAAGAAAAAAAGCTGTCGCAGATCATGAATATTCTCTTGATACCTGAAGGAATTCTATCTTCATATAGTCAGGCACTCATCTTTTCTGCTGTTAAACTTTAATATTCATACATTTAATAATGTGATTATACCCCAGATTTCCAACACTAATACAAATGTACAACTACTTTCATGGTTTCACTTTTCATACACACACACACACACACACACACACACACACACACACACGGTGGGGGAGCACAGACAGAAAGACACACTATTTCCTTCCTTTGTCCTTCTGCTTTCCTGTGTTTCTGTCCTGGTGCTCTAGAGTAAACTCAGGCCCCTTCACAGGCTAAATATGTACTGCAAGGCAAAGAGCTGCACATCCAACCTAAATAACATCTTCTCCAACTTAGTCATCAGCCAAAGGTTCTAAGAGTCACGAGAAGAGCTATGACAGATCAGTGCCATGGTTGCCACTGTGGTACCAGCAACTCTGGCCTTGAGTGTGGGGGCAGCTGCCTCTTGGCAAAGCTTAGGAAGTGCTACACAGTCAAAAATTGGGAATTAAGCAAGCAACTCAAGACACAGGGAGAACTTTACTAGATTAAATCTAAAGGAAAACTAAGATCTCTAAACAAAAACCAAAACAACTAAAAGGCTACAACAAATTCTTCTTTCTTTCAGCTTTAAAAATGATATAACCAGGGACCAGTGAGCTGGCTTAGTGAGTAAAGACACTTGCAGCCATGTCTGAGGATCTGAGTTTGATACTGGGACCCGACATACGCTTACAAGTTGTTCTCTAACCTCTGTACACATAGGTACACATTCTCTCTCTCTCTCTCTCTCTCTCTCTCTCTCTCTCTCTCTCTCTCTACTCCACACAGTGTGTACGGAAATTATATCACTAATCAGTGGGATTGGTATCATTACAAGACGACACATGATTCAGTGTGGTAGTTCATTCCTGTAATCCCAGCACTGCCAAAACTGAGGCAGGAGGACTGTGAGTTTGAAGTCAGCCTGGGCTATACCAGGAGGCTCTGCTCAATATAGGAAGTGAGAAGGAACATTGTCAAACTCTTTTTATGAGGCTACAATTACCCTAATACCCAAACCACATAAAGACATTACTAAGAAACTGAAAAGCTTTTGTAAAGCAAAGGACATGGTCAACAAGACAAATTGACAGCCTAGAGAATGGGAAAAGATCTTCATCAATCCCACATCAAACAGAGGTCTGATCTCCAAAATATACAAAGAACCTAAGAAATTGAACACCAAAAGAACAAATGGTCCAATAAAAAAATGGAGTACAGACATAAACAGAGAACTCTCAACAGAGGAATCTAAAATGGCTGAAAGACACTTAAGGAAAGGCTCAACAGCCTTAGTTATCAGAGAAATACAAATAAAAACAACTCTGAGACTCCATCTTACACCTGTAAGAATGGCCAAGATCAAAAATACTGGTGACAACTTATGCTGGAGAGGATGTGGGGTAAAGGGAACACTTCTGCATTGCTGGTGGGAGTGCAAATTGGTACAGCCCCTTTGTATATCAGTGTGGTGATTTCTCAGAAAAGAAGGAAACAACCTTCCTCAAGACCCAGCAATACCACTTTGAGTATATATCCAAAGGATGCTCAACCATGCCACAATGACATGTGCTCAACTATGTTCACAGCAGTACTGTTTGTCATATTCAGAACCTGGAAACAACCTAAATGCCCCTCGACTGAAGAATGGATAAGGAAAATGTGGTACATTTACACAATGGAGTACTACACAGCAGAAAAAAATAGCGACATCTTGAATTTTACAGGCAAATGGATGGAGCTAGAAAACATCATTTGAGTGAGGTTACCCAGACCCAGAGAGACAGTTGTCACATGTACTCACTTGTAAGTGGTTTTTAAACATAAAGCAAAGGAAACCAGCCCACAAATCACAATCTCAGAGAACCGAGACAACAATGAAGACCCTAAGGGAAACATACATGGATCTAATCTACATGGGAAGTAGAAAAAGACAAGATCTCTTGAGTAAATTGGGAGTATGGGGACCTTGGGAGAGGGTTGAAGGGGAGGGGAGGAGCAGGGAAGGGAGCAGAGAAAAATGTAGAGTTCAATAAAAATTGAGAGAGAGAGAGAGAGAGAGAGAGAGAGAAGAAGAGAAAGGAAGGAATGGGAAGAAGAGAAGAGATGGGAGGAAGAGGGAGAATCTCTCTACTATGGGAGAATACAGCAGTAAGGAGGCTATCTGCGAACTTCCCAGCAGAACTCCAGTTCCCTCCAGAACTGTGAGGTTGATGTGTGTGTGTGTGTATGTGTGTATGTGTGTGACCTCAGTCACTCTGGCATTTGCTATAGCTGCCCAAAGTGACAAAGGCAATTGCCTGAACTAATTTCTGCTCTTTGAAATGCAACAACTCCACTGGTACAGTTCCTTGTCATTCTACATATCTATGTTAACTTTAACTCTCTCTGCAATCTCAGAGTCTGATATCCAGGTTTTTGCCTTGAGACACACAAAAAGAAAAAGGAAACAGACTTTCTGTCTGCAGGAAATTTCTATGAGATACTTATTATTTTGGTGCTGGGGATTGAACCTAGGACCTCACACATGCCAAAAAGGTGCTCTTCCATTCAGCCATATCCCCAACCCAATCTTTCTCTATGACTAACTCCTTGTCTGCCTGCCTACCTCCCCCTCTCTCTATCAACCATTTATTTAGAGACAAGATCTCACTATGTAGCCTAGGCTGGCTTTGACAGTGTGATGCTCCTGCCTCAACTTCCTGAGGTTGAAGGCTGTTATTAAAGGTGTTCACCATGTCCAGTGCCTTCTATGTGCCTGACCAGTCATTCTGGCTTTCTGAGTTGCTTTTGGGTTTCTCTTCTTATCATTGACAATGGGGGACTTTTGTGACTCTCTAGATATTAATTTCTGTCTTAGCTCTTGACCCCAGGCAATAATAGATATATTTGGGTGAGTTAATTTTCTCCCAAGGCTCTGAAATTCAAATCCCATTCATGAACAAACTAAAGCAACTCCGGGTTCCAAGGCCCCAGACAAGAGTCACGCCTGCGTTTCCAATGCTGAGGAACCATACTGCAAGTTTCCATGCACATGATTTCCCCTCAGGGTCACCCTCTGCCTCTGGGGGGAGAAAGAACAAAACCTTAACGTGAGGACAATCCTGTGCAGAGTGGGATAATTAGTTCAGTATTGGTAGTCTGCAGCAGAAGCAGAATTACGGTTAATCTGGTGAAGAATAAGCCAAAGAATAAGCCAAAGTAAATGGATGTAAATCTTCTCAAACACTGCATAGACTTTCACTTTAAACGTCTTTAATGAGATTGGTTTTAATCAAATTAACTATGCAAAAATATTAAAGAGAAAAGTTTTCAACTACTCCTAATTTCACACAGTTCATCTGAACAGAAGTATAAATTTATGCTGAAAAGCAGCTCAATTAATCTACTCAAACAATGTATCAAATTGGGAGTAAAAGTTAATTAACTTAAGCTAGGGTTGAAAATATTAATTATACAAAATTAAAATGTAGTTCAAGTAACAGTTTTGCCCAAGGTTTGAACATCATGTCATAATTTATTACACTCAACCATCTCCCACCCATGTTTTCTTTTATAAAGCAAAATGATGTATTATACAAGCCGATAAACTATCATTAGGGAGCAGAACTGAAACTCGTACTGTGAGTGGCTGACAATGAAATCAGAGTCCTTCTCCCATCTTCACTCAGAAACACCTTCTGAACACCATATT